TGTACACAATAACTAGTAACACTCTGTAACAGGACAGTCCCTGTTCTTCCTCAATCATAGAAGACATTTGTACTAGGAGACAGTTCTGAACTAGAATAGTAGTTCTGAATCTATAACAGACTTTGTAGAACAGATGTATAGGACTAGAGAGGACACACAAGCTCTTCTAAAGAAGGTAGTACAAGTTATAAAGTAGAACTATGATTGGAAGAGGTCTGTAGCCAAGGATTACCAGCCTAGTGACAAAGTTATACTGAAAGCTACTAATCTAACCTTGGATCACCTAATGAAGAAGTTGGACAACAAACACTTCAGACCCTTTGTCATTGAAAAGAAGGTCAGTGTCTCTGTCTACAAACTCTAACTTCTAACAATATGGAGGTGTATACACCTAGTGTTCAACAAGGTTCTACTGTCTTAGTACTATGATCCAGGTTTTCCTTTACAACAAAGACCCCTACTACCTCTACTAGAACTTATTAACTCTGAACCAGAATACAAAGTAGAGTACATAGTGGATACTAAGTTACTGTACAGAAAACTCAAATTCCTTGTTCACTAGAAAGGGTACCTAGTTGAGGAGCACACTTGGGAACCTGTCAAGAACCTTACCCACACTCTTAAGACAATCCAAGATTTCTATCAGCTTCATCCTGGTACTCTACACAAACTCAGCCTTACAGATTTCCAAGCCCTACCATTCTGACTTATACCTGAGCTACTGACTAAGCCTAATGTTCACTAATCAGGACAATTGGTTTTAGAGGGAGGGTAATGTTACAGTTCTCTACTCTTATACCTTCAGTTCTAAGGGTTCTACACTCTTCTGTACTAGAACTCAGGACTTCTGTCTCTCAGGAGTACTGTCTATAGACTATATGTATACTGACTCTTACTACTACCCTTCCTTACTTCATCATTCTATTCCTTTGACCACTCCTTCATTCTTTGTTCATTCTATAGTCTCTTACCCTTTGTCCATCCCTTTATTCTTTGTACCTTTATCTTTGATCTTCCCTTCTTTCATTCTTCATAGTTTATCATTCTTAGTAGCTCATGCTCCCTGAGTACTCTTGTATAGTTTAGTATATATAGGTGTACAAGATCAGACTGGTCCTATAGTCTTGATCTTGTCTACTCTAGGTAGTCCTGTCATTATGAAAAAGTTGCAACAAATGTATTTAATAATAGCAAAAGTAAACTAATTAAATTATTTCATAAGCATTACATTCTAAAATAATACTTATATTTTACTTGTAATGTAATTATAATGCTTGTATATAAATGTAAGAAATATACAAAGTTTCTATTAAACTACAAACATGTTTTAGAGCAAGTAAGCTTACTAATAGTATTATTACAACATTACATGTGAGGTACAAGTACTCAACTCTTATTATAATCTGTTAAAATTATATTATAAGATATCTACAATAATAGTTGATAGATTATAATAGTTATAAAAATATTGTATTGTGCTTGTAAGTTGATTATAATACTTTTAGTAAGATAATATGCAATTATATATATTAATATTGTTAACAATCACTCTGTTAGACTTATAATATAATTTAGTTTTACTTTTAAACTGTATATCGAAGTGCTTACATAATTGAGTACCGAAGATCGAGAGCATATAATG